CTACCTAGCACTTCTGTAGCCGATTGTATAATTTTCAGTAAGCCTGAAATCTCTCCCAAACTAATGATCATAGCTAGATGAAACTTTGCACATGCATTTATTAAGTCATAACGGTGATGTTTGGGCCATGATCATTTTTTAGATATTGTCTTCGTTTCGAAGTTATTCTGTCATACGGACCAAAATTCGCAGTGAGCCTAATATGTCTTCTATGGTAATGTACATATTTGTACGAGACACCGCATACTTGGAAGCATGACCGTTATGTAATACTGAATGCATTATGCATACATAGTAAGATGAGAAGGCAAATTGGTATGCTCTGAGCGCACTGCAGATCACGGGCCAACGCGGTTGTGCACTTGTGCTCAGTATGTCGGCATCATTCAGAAAGTCAGGGTCGGGATTGCTCTCCAAAGTAAGTTTATTAAATTATCTTTGCCGTGTTTAAATTCCTTATGATGCACCCTGGCCCCGTTTGGACTAGGTGTGCTTCTGATGTCACCATGTCAGTGATGTGTCCAGGAACTGCGCTGATCCTGTCATCCAACTCCATTCTTCATTAATTAATCCCGTCATCCCGGATTCTATCACACCGAGTTAAGTTAGTCATTTTGAATCCACAACATGTTAATTAAAGAAAATCTCCTCGAACCAACATTTAGCACTGAACTCTCATTAGTAGCACTGAACTTCTATTCCCATTAGTAAAATTTACACGTGCCTAAATAAAAATTTACATTTTTAAATTCACCTTTTCACGTCAGTTTTTCACAACTTCACTCTTCTTTCATAAAAAAATGAAATTTTAAGTTCTAAAATAACGCCAAATATAGGTACGTGGCTAAGCATAAAAAATGTACAAACTTGCTTCAACGAATATGTAATAGATGATGGCTTCTCGGGTCAGTTCCATTAAATTTGAAGATGACATTCAATATTTCCCTTTCGACTGGAGCAGTTGCTCAGAAACTGTTCAAAGGGTAGACTAACTAAAATGTTCGTAAATTGCTCAACTAATGAAGCATGTTAAATTTTACATATGTTATATACCATCAGTAACATTTGCAGACGAAGCTTCAGGACTATGGTGCTGGCAGTCTGGCACAGTGATAGCGGCTGACGAAGACGGGTATTTCTTTGTTGAATGCATGATGTCGGATGCTGGTAAGTCGGCGCTGCGATAGGCAAAATTAGAGAAAATGTAAGCTTTTATCACTTATGGATGTAAGATATGTCACGGAGTCTAATCCGCCTCCAGGAAGCATAATTATAAACGTTTAATTATATACGTAGATGTGAGGTAATTGATATTTAATTTTTTGGGTTATATTATGAGTTTATGACACTGATACCTGTCGTACTTCATTGAGAATTGGCAGTCGACATCACAGTGTACAGGCTCATTATGCTGACGCGTTGTGCTTGACTGTCTACAAATGGTGATCAATATTGCAAGAGATGTCGACCACACTGTTATGCTCATCCTCTCACTGAATAGACAATGTCCATTTAATATTTAAAAAGCATGAAAATAGAACGGAGAGTTTTTCTTGCATATCACTAAATGACGTAGTAGCAGTGGTAACCATGCCTAGCTATCGTCTCGGGAGCTCAACTCTGCCCGACAATTGAGTCAGGAGACTCCATGGACGGTTGTAGACGTCGTTTTTGCAATGTTGCGCTGCCTGACGATATAAATCACTTGATGGCCATATAAGAATTTCATAGAATATGTCAACGATTCACACAGGCTCTCAATTTGCTATAGAGTCATTCTCTACTTTGTAATCACTCACACGTGTTATCATTCATAGAGTAGATTTTAAAATTGCGCAATATTAAGTTTTTGTTATCGGCATAGGTTCTAGCTTTACGTAAATTCAAATAGGTCAGAAGCCTTGCTATGTCTTCTGTACAAATTCATTGCGTGTCGTCACGAAAACTGGTCCGGAAAACGTCCTAACACCGCAACAGGGCATTCCTCGAACTTGACATAACTACCTGTCGGGGGGCTACCTTGGACCAGGCTCCAGAGCTCCCTCAGCTTTAAAAGAATAAGAAGACATACTACGAAGAACCTAAGATAGAAAGACTGAGCAATTTTAACGTGACAAAGATCTAACCACGTTGATAGGCAAGTTACACATTTGGAAATACGTAGTTGTCAAGTGATATTGAAGTCAGGTTTTTAATTAGTTTAAAGGTTATGTATAAGTAACCTTTAGCCGGATAATCGAAACCTGATCTCTATCGTTAGATTTGTTGTAGAATGAGAGACTAGAAGACTCAAATGTCATCGAGAATCGCCAATTTTTCGACAACAGTTTTATATGTTCATGATTTTACTAAAAAGTACACTAACCATTAAGACTGTATCCTTTCTTATTCAATCAGCCCGCATGTATTACCTCCAAACAACAGGTTTTGGTTGATTTGGAAAATATCTATAGAAACATTTATAGTCACTTTAAGATGTGATATACGTTTTGTTCATTGCTGGGGACACAACTTTTTTTTCCATGTAGGTATTCCGCCAAACAATTTTGAGTCCCCCGAATCTCCAAATAAAATTTATTAGCAATTAGTACAAATTCACGAATCAACATGCAAAAAAAATCAAAACGCGCGAAGGTCAACCAAGTTTTTGACCGTCGTTATAATAGTGGACGTTCATTTTCGTGTAACATGTTGGACGAATCTTTGTTTCAAAATTTCGTTCCGATAAAATTTCCAATAATGCTATAATCCGATGCATGAAAAATGATGGCAAGCTTTTTCTGAAATGTTTTTAGTTTAAATTAAAGATGCTTATATTATAACGGTTCCATACCGACGGAAGCGATTTGGTGTTCCTGTCACGCACAATCCGGGCTGAAAGGTTGGTAAGAGGAGCTGCGTCTTTTTTGAAAATCGGTGAGTAACTTGTCGGAAGAAAGTAGTCAATAGGCTGTTGAAAATTTCAAGAATTGATTTTGACGTAGCGTTGACACTTAAGTAGGAAAGGAATAATAGAAGGAGGGAAGGATATCTTTTTTTTTATTGTTTCTTCCTTTCTTTGATAATTTGTAACTGGAAAGAATGGATGATGCACGCTGGGCACGTAAGGTGTACCTGTGGAATTTGAGAGTGAGCAAATGGGAACGTAAGTGTCATGCAATAGTACGAAAGTGTGGATTTCATGAAACACGGGCTCGCCCTGGAAATAATAGACCAAGAGAGGAATGGATGATAACAGTTCAGGGTGCAACAGGGACCGAATGGGACGTCAAAGAATGGAAGAAGGAAATAGAAAAGAGAGTGAAGCTGTGGGGTCTGAGAGTGTGGAAGCAAGGAATGGAAAGAAAGGACAGCCTGAAGTTGTACAGGATAAAAGAGGTGCCAAGGTATGAGTACATATATGATGGAAGTAGAGGTGGAGATCTAATGTTCTGTGTGAGAGCAAATGCTTTGAGTGTGAATGCGCGGACATACCGGTGGAATGAGAGAAGAGAGGATATTTGTTTCATGTGTGACAGAGGTGAGAGGGAAACTGTGGAGCACCTGATGATGGAGTGTGACGCATATGAGCAGGAGAGACTGGAAATGATGAGAGTGATACTGGATGAGAGAGGTGAGGGTGACGGAGTGGTATATGAGAGAACAGGAGAAGAATGGATGGCAATGATAGTGGGCTTGTCAACGGGGGTGACAGCCGCTATGACTGAGAGTGGAAAGCGATTTCTGGAGAGTGCATGGAGAGTGAGGGAGAGGAGGAGGCTGGCAAGAGTGGAAGCCAGGGGACAGTAGAGAGCAGCAGTATACATAGGGCAAAAACTGAGATATAGAAATAATAATCATTCATATGAATTTCTTCTTGATCATATGAATTTCTTCTTGATTCCCTTTCACCTAGCTCTCATCTTACCCCTAACACAAACTTTCACACTCTCCATGCTGTCTTTAGTTTCCCTTTCTTCCCCCTTCTACTAACAAATGAAAGTGTGATGCGTGGCTAATGGCCGTTGCAAAGGCCTGACTCTGAAATGTCGTTCTTCCCTTCAGAGTCACCACGCCCCAAATCCAAATCCAAATCCAAATCCTGTTCCTGTCACGCACAATCCGGGCTGAACTTTCCCCCTTTTTACCTTCTAATTATTATTATTATTATTATTATTATTATTGTATGTATATATTTTTATTTTATTATTTTATTTATGTATATTGTAATCAATATATAACAAATAGTTAAGACTACTTATAGCCTTATAAGAATTAGCTAAGCTGCTAGCTACGTACAATGTATTGCACACTTGATGCCTCTGTACCAAAAACATTTCATTTATTGGAACCTAATACACACTAAAGGCAACAAGTTTATATACCAATTTGTCATTCATAGTACATTTATACTAAACCATGAATAACAATACCTCAATATAAATTAAAGACTGCCACTCAATATTTTTAAATATATGAAAAAATAAAAAAAATCATGATTTTTTTTATAAAAAAATCAAGTGATTTAATCACACGATTTAATCATTTTGATTTAATCATTGCCAACCCTGATGACACATGTATGGTTTTTGCTAAATTTAAAGTCATGTTATTACATAACAATACCTACACTTGGGAAGCAAGGTGTGTTCTGCATAGAATAACACCAAAGTACAAGAAAGACTTTCACTAAAGTATGTATGTTTATCAATCAATTTGTCAAAATTTCAATTGCTTTCTTGATTCATATGATTTTAATTAGTAATGAATTGAGTGAATATTTTTGTTACAAAAGCATAAAAAGAAAAGTTGATCTTTATATATTTTTTGGAATATTCAAAATATCAAGGATAGCATTCAATTTATTGCTTCAAGACTTGTGATAGATTTTTTGTATTAGAATTTTCCTGAAACTGGAGGTCTGACCTGATGGGAATTGACTTTCCTTTGTAGTTCAAATTACTTTTAGCTGTGTTCAGTTGCTCAATTTGAACTGATAACAATTTATTATTTGCAGGGTTTCATGAGACGAGTCACTGACTCAGTGTCGGGACTTCTGGGAAGCTCATGGGTGCCAGGTTTCTTGAGAGCAGATGAGACAAGAGAGGAGCAGGAGAGCCACAATAACCATTTACCAGGACCTTCACACAATTCCCGGCCTGGTTCATCTCCACAGCAACCCAGCCCCACTAGGACCAAGCACCTTATCTATCCTGAAGAAGGTGAGGCATTCATGTATGCTTGAGAACACTTTTCAAGCCAGTTCAGGTCTTTGTTTATATACGTATTTTAATGTATTGAATAAAATAACTATTGTGGAGCTAGTATGTTAACCATGCTTGACAATGAAACAGCTCAGTTATCATTTTTTATTATTTTTTTATGTGAACGATATTTAGCCAAGATATTTTTGGACATTATTTTAGTATGGAAAATTGTTGTTTATTCTGAAGAATTGGTTTCAATGGAGATTAATTTATTGTCCCAACTTTTTTTCTATAACTTCTAAATTCTCATTTCTAACTCACTCATCAATTGAAAGCATATGGGTAATTGAAGTTCATAGTAAAATATGAGTTATTGAGAATTGAATGCTTAAGAATTGGTTACATTTGTTTGAAATTCTGTTGCAACTCAGATTACCATATGAACGCGAGGATTCAATTTACCATTTTCATGGCCAGTTAAAATGCAATCTTACTGGACAGTTGTGGAGAGAAATAATTAATGATTTGTATTTATTTGCAGCAGGCAATGAAGAACTTCATGAGAACAGCACTGCCACAAACTTATTGCCTGCTGTCACTAGCTCAGCAACTAACAACAATCATAGGTTGAGCCTACTTAGTGCCTCGGCTGCAAACTCTGTAGCTTCGTGCTCAGCCCCTGCTGATCGCAATGGTGGGTAGCATGCGAGCCAACTTACGTACTTGATCTTAATCTTATTGATCTTACTAAGTCTTGAATTTTTTTGGTGAATAAATTTTGTACCCCATTGAGAATCGAAGCTAAAGTTTTTTCACACATCAGTTTACTGTGATCGATAACTAAGAAGTTTTCTTTATTAATTCAATGATTCAGCTTTAATGATGAATTATGTATAGAATTAATTGTACAAAGGCATCATTTTGAGTGTAGAATGCTGTGTATCATTCTTATTGTTGTGGTGATAGCTGGATATCTTTATTAATTTAGGCTGCACCAGTTGTAATAATTACTACATATATTTCAATTTCTGGCGAATAGAAAGATCTATCAAAATAAAATTTTGAAAAGTTTAACCTCTGGTCAGGTCTCAGAACATGTCTAAAATTAGGAAATTTTTTTTTTGTGATTGGTCTTGTGCAACTTGTCAGCTGTTGCTGGCTATACATAAATGTTGAATTACTATGACTCAGCTTACACATTGAATGTTTTAATCCTGCAGCTGAAGGTGACCATGCTCTTGGCAGCCGCCTGTATTTTGAAAGCTCTGTCAAGAACTGGAGACAGAACTCAAACAATCGCATGGGTTCCTCTCCACGGACTTGCCCTTCAAGCACCTCAAACATGTCGCCTGTTGCTGGTCCAAGTAGCGCAAGAGATGTGTTCAGCAGCAGTCGGCAGATGACAGAAGAACAGCAATGCAGTGTGGCTGATAGCTTGCCTCATGACAACTTGGCAGTGCAGGACCAGCTCACTCCGGCCTCCTCCTGCTCCAGTTCTGCGTCTCGTCTTACTAATACTGGTAATTTTATGGCACGACTAAAGTGTGACCTCCAAAATTAAGAATTGAAGCTGATTAATGTCAAACAACTTGCTACCAAGTTTGATGATTTTCATCTACTATAAGAGCATAGTTCCATGGGACTGGGAAAATTTCAATTGTTGATTATTGCGCTGACGATCCAACGCGTAATACGGCTCAGTTATGATGGGCATAGTTGAAGAAGATGGGCATAGCAATAAGAAGATGGGTGGAGGAACTATGCATGGCCTAATGGGCTGGTGCTTCTGCGTGCGTCTCACAGCACGGTACTGTTTTGAGCTATGGGGAAAGAAGGACTTGCTAAAAGGCAGTCTCATTAATGTGGGTGAAAATTTCCTGGCGAGGAGTTCTTTACATCTCATGATATCTGGCGGTGAAGACCTTGTATTGGAACTGTGCCATTAGGCAGCCAAACAATAAAATTAGATTCGCCTTCGAATGATGGAATAGTAAAAATGATGTGGTTGTAGTATGCAAGCTATTAAGTATTAACTGTAAGTGTGCATGGAAGGTGCAAGTTAGACGGGGAAAGAACATCTGTCCTGGTATTAAGTTAGTTGAAAAGTTAATGGAGGCATCTGGTGGCCAACCTCCAGGCTGAATTCTGAATGGTTTGTAGGCTTGCAAGGGCGGCGTTGGAACAACAAGAAAATTTAAAGATATTATAAAGAATTTAAATATTTTGAAAGATATTTTATACCATTTCTGGTGGTGATTCTGATGGTTGTTTGGATGAGGATGTTACTCTTCAAGTTTCGTTACAAAGTTCCATTCTATCTAATTTCAGTCCACAAATACATATTTTAAGCCGTACTTATCTTGAATATCTATGCTTATATTCTGATCCTGGAATTGGATCAGGAGGATTTATTTTCTTAGTTTTTTGCTTCAATGGTATTATGTTAAATATCTAATAATCTAGTATATCAAAATGTTAATGTAATGCTCTTTATTCAAGAAAGCTAATTTTGTGCAAATAATATGTCATGATTCATAAATGTCGTTTTCCTGAGGCTTGTTCCCGTTATTTTATTTAATTTTTTATTGCAGGTGGGCGACTGGCAGAGCCGAGCGCGAGCGGCCGTCTGAGCGCTGCCATGTCGGCCAGCAAGAGACCGCGCTTCTCTTTGGCTGCTTACAGCGCTGCTGCATCGCCTCCTGTAAGAACAATTGTATATTTACTAAAATAGCAGAGTATTGATTTTCTTTGGTATGCTTCTTTCTCATAATAGAACTGTATTACAGAAATAGAACCTTCAAAAACTGATGCATCTACTTAATCCAATGAACACTTTTTAAATTTACATTTATTAATGATCATTAATTGGCTGGATAATCTGATTTGCGTAAATTAGTATTGCCCCCTTCAGTTAACTGATGATATCTTGTTGGTTCATTTTCAAGAAGTCAGCCTGTAATTCTGGTAGCAAAATAATCAGGTTTGAGAAAAATAATTCAAGTTGATAAAACTCATAGCCAGACTGAACAAATGCTTGGATATTCTCCTTGTACTGCATTTATGGCTATTAAGTATTTGGCATATTTACAGGGCAATAAGTCAATCCTGAGCGATGGAAGCTTCCGAAGTTCTCCCTTCTACCCCGGGCGCACAACTTTTGGTGGTGCTGCTTCTTACAGGCGCACCCCAACGCCTCTCACACCCACCAGGACTTCTGTAAGTCGTTACGGAATTTACCTCCTGTCATATAACATAATTTCACAACCTTAGAATCCTACCAATCATAGAGACGTTTACACCCATACAGTCCCACTAGGGTCAAATTCTCAGCCCGGCCATGCAATGTCATTGAGATTTTTTTTGGTTGTAATAGTTCATTCAGTAAAAGTTAGTTGTTAATTCACATTGATGTAAATAGGATTCCATAGTGAAAAATTGACGAGTGTGTTGAGGCTGCTTAATCTATTAGTCTACATATTGTCACCCAAAGTTTTTTTGTTAACAGTGAACATGAAGTGATTCGAAAGTAGTTTTTAATGTTATTTTACGGGCTTACAGTATTTTCAAGCTATTAGGCTCATATTTCTTGAATAAAAGTTGCATTAATGGTGAATAATGTGCACAGGTTGCATCGCCTAGAGTAGTGAATGACGGAGGTCTCTCTGAGGCTGCACAGAAAATCTTGTCCTGTTTAAATGCCATGTCCACTCCGCTCACTGATGCCAAGAGAATGGCTACACCGGCCGCTTCTCCGTATGCATCTTACCTGACTTCCCCGTACACTGCTGCCTTCCACAAGCATCGCCCTCACCAGCGATGCCCCCCAACCTCTTCCCTTTCTACTCCACTCAAGGCAAGTGCTGCTAAATTTTACTCCATGTGCTGTTATTAATTAAATTCTATTAATTTTGATCAATGATAAAATTAACTAACTGCATAGCACAAGATATAAGCTGTTTCAAAGGCAATTTTTGCTTACATTGTCTGTCCAAGCCTTTGATATCTTGTAATATTCTACATTTCTGATTAAATCATGTCCTGTTCATTTTCTTTCTGTACAAACTATAAAGATGAAGCCCATGTTCGATGATTTTCTTCTGAATATCTCTTAGGTAATTACTTCCTCGCTTAATGGTGAAGATTTCATAAAGGATACTGATACTGGGAGCTAACAATTAATTGTGTTGGTCAGGTTGGTGTACAAAGCAACTTGTCACAGTACATCGTGGCGAGTCCTGCGTCAGGCACTACAAGCAGAGGTGCCAGCGGCGGCGGCGGCAGCAGCAGCAGAATGCCAGAAGCGGTGCCAGTAAGTGCCTCAGACGACCACAGTGTGCTAAGCCCCATAGCAGCGCTACATCCCTCGTCAGAAGAGCCTTCAATTTTTTCTGTAGCGGCTGCGTCTTCAGCCCCGCGATCTCCGGCCATGAAAGCCAAGAACGTCCCGGCTGTTTCTATGGTGAACCCTACAAGCAACTGTTCTGGAGTCAACCCTCTGCTGCGACCCAGTGAACCCGCGACGTTCGGGTCTGCATCAACACTAGGGCCTTCAACCTCGGTGGCGTTTTCTTTCGTTTCTTCTACCCCAATGCCTTCAGCTTCTGCCGCTCCGTCGACGAGGTGAGATTTCAACATGAACTAATAGTTGATTTATCCCTAATTTGTACCTGTTATTTTCGTTGTGTTCTTGATTGGGTATTTTTTCATAATTTGATTACATCATTTAGTGTATATATTAAACATGACGTTCATTAACCCTGTTTGATGATTCGATGTCACCATAGTTTGATGGATTTTTGAGATTAATGGATTAACTGTTTGAGTGTAACAGGCGATTATTTAATCCTTTGTAATTGGTCGTGGATTTGGAGTTTCCTATGAATTGTTTTTTCTTATAGTAAGATTTGCAATTCCGTTCACTAGTTGGTCATGGGAAAAAATTACATTAATTGTATTAATTAATAAAACGGCAATATTTATTCTATAAAATTATCATTGAACGTCAGGGTTCTTGCGATGTCACGATGGCTGTATTTTCTGTTGAAAAATCTGGGAACTATTGACCGCACTGGCTATATACCTATACCTTTACAGCAGTAGCAGCGAGAGCTCATCTCTGACCAGAGTTGGCAGCAGTATCACGTCTTGGCCTCATATGAACGAAGAACACCAGTCTTCTGTTTCTGTAAATGCCAGCTACGGCGGCGGTAAAATGAAGTCTACTTCTTACAAGCCCAGGCGCACTCGCCTTTCAGAGGAAGAGCTCAAGCTGGCGCCGCCTCAGTCACCCCCGGTTCTGCCTAACGCCACTCTGCCCAAAGTCAGTTTTTCAGTACCTATCTCATTATCCAGCATTTTTAAGCCACCTGTCGAAAGCATCCAAGCTCCTCAGAGAAGCATTGCCAGCCAAGCTCAGAGTTCTGCTACTCGAACTCCGCCTTCTTCGGCCCAAAGCCTTGCCTCCTCGAATCTTCGAGGCTTTGAGTTCAGTGTACCAGAAGTGTTGCACGACTCCGACAGTAAACCTAAAGACAACAGCAAAGATCTAACTGCTGATGAATCTACCAGTAAATTTAATGAAGACAGTACAAGTTTACTATTTAATTTTAGTGCACCGTTTCCTGTTGCCACGGATCAGATTTCTAAAGATAATTTCATAGTACCTAAATCGTCATTAGTTCCAAAGCTCAAAACATTGAGCCCTGTTAAATTTAGTGCGCCCGAAGTGGCAAGAGAACTTGTGTCTAAGAGCGGTGGTTTGGTAGAGTTTCTTAGTAAATCGAGTGGCAAAAGCCCCGAGTCTTCTATTACTAGTAAAGACGCATTTTCGGCCACTGGCAAAGAAGATGGCTCTTCCAGCGAGCTCAGAAATTCTTCGAATTTGCTTACAGGTTTTGGTGAGCGTTTTAAAGCTGCTACCGGTTCGTGGGAGTGTGACTCGTGTCTTTTGCGCAACGAGTCAAGTTCCAATAAATGCATTGCGTGCGAGAGTGCTAAACCCGGCAGCAAAATTAGTCAGGCTTCCTCGGCCAGTTCCATTCCTTCAACCAAGTTGAGTGTATCAACAGCATCTGATTTTGGAAATGCTTTCAAAAAGGCTGCGTCTGATTGGGAGTGTAATACTTGCTTAGTAGTGAATAAAGAAAATGTCTCTCAGTGTGTTGCTTGCCAGTCTGCTAAACCTGAATGTTCTAATGCCGCTACTTCAGGAAGTTCTTCAATGGCGTTTGGTAGCGCATCCTCATCTACTACTTCAGTAGGGTTTTCGTTTGGGGTACCACCAGCGTCTACCACGTCATCTTCATTGAATCCCACCTTTAGTTTTGGATCGAAGCTTTCTTCTGCATCCGCCGTTTCATCGCCATCTACTAATTTTAACTTCGGGATCGCACCGTCGTCAAGTTCAGCTGTTTCTTCATCTTCATTTAGTTTTGGAATCACGCCCTCATCTTCAGTTTCTTCGTCTTCTACATCTACAACTGTGATGTCTTCAAACACCTCCATAAGCTCGTTTACTTTTGGTTCTACGTCCACACAATCTATACCTACGACATCCACCAGTGTGGCTGAACAGGCCACCTCATCCACTAAAAAAACAACTGTCTCGGCTCCATTAACTAATACATGGGGTTCAAAGAGAGCGCCCGGCGACTGGGATTGCATGACGTGCTTGTTGCAGAATGCAAGCTCTGCCGATTGCTGTGTGGCGTGCAAGGCTGTTAAACCTGGTCAGTCGTCTTCATCTGCTTTGTCCAGCAGCAGCCCTCCAGCTTCTGTTGCATCTTTGCCTTCCTTGCCGGTCTCCGGATTTGGAAATAAATTCAAAAAAAGTGCTGGTGATTGGGAATGTAACGCATGCTTGGTTAAAAATGAATCAACTTCTGGGCAGTGCATTGCATGTAGTGCCCCCAAACCTAACAGTACTGGTCTGGTAAAGTCATCTTTAGGTGGAACCTACAAGTTTGGTGCTGGCAAAACACAGTCTGACTCTTCAGGGTTTCAATTTGGTGTCAAATTATCTGAGGCATCGATGATGTCCAGTACAGAATCTACGAAGCCTAACGTAACACCAAGCTTCTCTTTCGGTACATCATCGAGTGTTTTCGGTGGTAGCTCAACAGGCACATTTGGAGGAAATACTCCAGTGAACACTAGCAGTCCCTTCTCCAGCGCCAGCACTTCCACAGCACCAGAAACTCCTAAGCCTGTATTTTCTTTTGGCACGAGCGGTGCCAGCAACGGCAGCGTTGACGGACCTCCTGCCATGCTCAAGTTCCTTTCTTCACCTAATGAAAATAACACACTGAAAACTAAGCCTTTCCAAAATTCTTTTTCTAGCCCCATTACTGAGAACAAACCCTCCAATACCTTTAATTTTAGTAAAGCGGCTGATAATGCAGAAATACCTACTAAAAGTGACAGCAATTTATTCTCGTTTGGTGCGCCTGCTAATAAAAGTCATAGCTTTGGTGGTACTTCAATTATGCCCTCTAAAGAGCTCAAATTTGAAGGCTCACAATCAGACCCAAATGGAAGAGGAGCGATGCACCTCAACTCTACTTCTCCTGGTCTTATTAGTGGTGAACAAATAAATTCGAACAACAAGAGGGCTTTGAATTCTGATGATGCAGAGCCTCCAAACAAGGTGTCTAACGTAGCTTTCAGCAAAAACAATGGCTTTGCTGACTCATCACCGATGTTCACTTTTGGCAAGCCTCCAAGTGCCACGCCCAATATTCAGTTTGAAACCAAAAGCATTCCGACGTTCGGGAACGCCACCACATGTTTCGGGGGCAGCGCCCCGACAGGAGGATTATTTTCCAGTGTAAATAATAATAACAACAATGTTGCTGACGGCCTTAAATCTGCTTCTGGCGGTGATTCGGTCTTTGCCTTTGGGCAACCCCCTGAGAAAAAAGCCAGCACTGGCTTCAACTTTGGCCAGGCCACCACTCCAGCTCCTACTTTCAACTTCGCCGCGACTCCACCTACCTTCCAATTTGGCCAGGTCAGTTGAGAATTATTATTTCTTGCTAAATTAATTACAGATTCGTAGCTGTAGGTGGGTAAGGTTCTTACAATGTATACCTTGAATGTATTTCTTATATAATAATTTTCGCAATGTGTTTTGCAAGACTATTGTATGTAATATATAAAGAAGTGCTGTTACTGCGTCAGTTATATTAAATGTTGAACAATTCCTTATGTATGGCTGTTGTGTGATGAGTCCGTCCTAGATAAGCTTTCTGTTCTCGTCTAGCTCCCATGTTATCCTCCAAGTCGAAGCCTTGCATACTGAGAAGCTACACTTCTGATTATATAACTTGCCAGGACTTGCTTATTGAGTGTATCTGTGTGACGATGTTCATGCTTGAGCTTTAGTTCAACACAAAGCTGTACTTACAGGACGCTAGCGCCAAACCTGCGGTCGGTACGCCTGTCAACAATGGCGTCTTCCAGTTCGGCTCCAGCGCTGCTAGTGTCACTCCGAGCTTTGGGTTAGTGTATGATGAAGTTTTATTTATTCCATTCGTAGAGAATCCAATTACATTATTAATGATGGGGAACACAGTCTCCTTGCGACCATACTTAGTTTGGAGACCGTCAATCGATTTGATTCAATTTGTTTCGTTATATGGATTTGCTTTAAAAATAAGAACAAATGAACAATGCTAGTTACCAGGAATAGTTTTCGTCGGATGCATATTATGTTTATTGTTGAGTTGGTAATTTTTTTATCGACGTTGTAACATTTTTAATATATGCATGGTGATAACGTTTACTTCTGGCGTTGCAGTATGAGCTCGTCAAACCCCTTCAGCCAGCAGCCTCCTCCTGGACGATCTTTCAAGAAGGCCATCAGGAGGACCAAGAAGCCATGAGTGGTTTTCGATAATAAAGAAACTACAGAAACGTTTCCATAGAAGTATATAAATCCTGGCAAAGCACTCAGAGTAATTATTTAGTTGTTGTCTAAACTTCAACAGCTTTGCTGCAATCTTTGGTGGCCTTTTGTCTTTCATGTCGATCGTATGAGCGGTGTTAGAGGTACTGAGAACATCAAATGATTTTTTAAGAACCTATCAATCGAGTTCGGGCCTGACGTTGTATTTTGTTGAGCATTTTGGCTCAGGACATTCTTAGGCCACAATAATACATGCGATTCTTCTTTCTCTAATGCGACAATCTCAGAAAGCTGTCAACGTACTGCTGCTGACCGAGCACAGTTCATTATACGACATACATTTCGTAGACACACTACACTGATCTGAATAGTAGTGTGTCTACGACTACACTGATCTGAATAGACTACACTGATCTGAAGCGCTAGAAACCTCTCCCTACTACTTATACCTTAACTCGTTCAAATGTCTCCCTATTTTCAGGATGCTAGCGACATATAAGACATCATTTATTCACTTGTTCCAATCTGTTCCGTGTCTATTCATAAAACTTGTAGCTACATCACTCCACTCGCCTCAAATATAATTCCGTTTTATCCGTGGTATGCATGAAATTTGTCTTGTGTTACTTTTTTTTCGGTATAGTGCTTTTTTCCCCCCGCTCGTGACTCTCAAATTACTGATCTCTTCGGAAAATCTGTTTCGTCTATTTGCCAGGGCTTTACTAAAATGACACTTAAAACGACTCGCTTAGGTTCTGTACTGATAACTATTTATTTGATTAAATTGGCGGCAATAGTTTTGAAGAGATATGAATTAAAAATTGCACTGGTTGTAATTTCTTCCTATCGTTATTGTAGATTCAAGAGGTTCTTGATGAAAGTTTCTTCCTACAAATTTCTTCCTTAAATAGATCAAATCTCTGACCGATGTCTGAAGTATTGTGAGCCTGAAGGTTTGAACACTTTACAGCAAGGAATACGGATTTTGATGCACGCCTGTGTCTCGTGTTGATTCTCAAATGATCTTGTTGGCAATATCAACACACTGATAGTGTCTGAACGAAAAGTTTCCTCAATGAAGCGAATTTAATATCTGGTTATTGGAAATTTATGTCATGGGTACTCGAGTTCGTAAATAGACCGGCAGATAACCGTTGAGAGGATATCGTTACGCTGGCTTGCCGAACCAAAAGAGATTGTCTGGTGCTCGTTTTTTCTGTATCTTTGAACAGCGAGGATTCGAATTACGGCAATGAATCAAATTTTCGTTGATTTGGAGACACTGAAGAACGTCTACTCAATCATGTTCAATTTTTCTCCACAAGGAACGAAGCTCTTTGCATTATTGGATAATCTTTATCTCTGTCTATACAGAACCATGGATACTAGTTATTCACGTCTCTATTAGCCATAAGATATGAAAGAAAAGTAAGACACAATTCTGGAATACATTGCAGTGGTATACTTCTTGACTGATCTAATTCTAGCAGTATTTCTGAAAAACTTGTGTCAACCAAGTTATTCCATCATTTAAATTGTTGTCTGAAAGCTCATGAATGCCCAAACATATTTACTTGACTACCGATTGTTCTTTTCGAACTCGAGTGAGGGACTGCTATCCAGGACTCGAATTTTCTATGAACTTTTTTGTATGAATAGATTTTTCTAATTTAATATATTACATTAATTTCTTTTATTGTAAATCCGTTACTATTTCTGATGGAGACTCGAGGAATTGTTTCGAATGAGCGAACAGCTGTGCCTGCGTACTTTTTAATTCATACTCGCGACGAAACGAGATTTCCTGGTCAGTAGGCCCTTAAAATACTAAATAATGTGCATTAGCTTGTGCGCCATTGTTGTATAAATATTAATAAGCAGGAATGAGGTGTTGGGTTTGAACTATGAACGCACACTTGTACGTGGGTTGAGTAGTTACAAATGTCAAGACAAGTCCTTCCCTTCTCCTTATTGTGAGGGGGATATTGTATTGTAAGGGAGATATTGTATTGTGAGGGGGATATTGTATTGTGAAGGAGTTATTGTATGCTCGTTATTGTAGCGAGCATCGCTGTACATAAACTCTAGGCTTTAGTTGGTGCTAGCGTGTTTCCTTCAGACCACTTCAGCGGAACTCGTCTTTTAACGTCCACTTAGGAAAATCCTGTTATTTTTGAGAATCTTGGAAGTAATCTCCTCTGTGGTTGAAGGAAGCAAGCGCTACGTGTAAATACTATGAACATTTTCTATGTAAATAATTTTTACAAGCGTCAATATTGTTGTTGAACAGCATTTTTGTGGCTGTGAATTCCTTTCAAAATATTAATTCAAGAATAAATAAATTATTACATCTCAGAGAGCCCTGTTGATGAGGGCGATCACTGAGATCTTCATAATGTGAGAGAATGTTCATAGTTACGTGAGAAGTGCGAGGCATGAAGCCTGTATATAAAACTTATAATGTGGGTGAGTGAATGTGCGTTGTTTAGAACGTCCGTCGGGCCTGCTGTGCAGACAACTCTTTAATTTACATCTTAATTTTAGTTTGAAATTCCTCTACCCAAGATTTATGATTCCTTGTCCCTGCTGGAAGGCTTGTCATTCTGATGCAATGTCACGAGTTTTAAACTCCACATGACTGACATTGAAATATTTGTTAACCAAACAATACGAATCGAGTCCTTGGACAAATAAGACCGTTTGGCTCGCCATGTACGACCAGGATTGTAGATGACCAGCTGACATATTTAACAATGTTTATTTGCACTAAGTTATTTCGACATATTTTATTGCGTATCGTATGCGACTCATCGCAGTGACTTATTTTGTTATTGCTACATCTTAGATCAAATGAAATTTTCGACTATAATAAACGCTTGTCAAATTAACTTCGGAGCTCAGTTTTACAGGTTAGTGCCTACCGTATAACACGGGTGGAAATGTGACCGTTTTGAAGCAATCATTTCTCCTACAGCGCCCGTACGACATTCAATAAAACCTTGAGGTATACGTGTTTGTTCTTACTGCCTAGGATCCCGAATGAGCTGTATATGTTGGCTGAATTTTGTGTTCATCAGAAACCGCTGTAAATAATCAGCCATGGTTTGTTCTACGAGGTGAACTGTCGTCAGTTATCTGTTTAAACATTGATATTTCGTTGCATTAACCTGAGTAAATGTTTCCGGTATCCAAAAACTTTTCGAATTGTCAGAATACGAAGACTCAATTGTGCCTTTGTGTTGTGCAAGTTACGTTGGCTCTTTTCCACGCATAAAATATTGTCTATTCGATAAAATATTGTTCTATAATGGATTCTAGTGTAAACTAAATAAAGACTTGTTGATACTATAAATACTGATAATTCAATACTGTTATATTGATAGACTAAGAATTTTAAAGCTAATGCACAGTGATTGGACAGATGACTTTCGTCATTAATTCTTGCAGTTTCATCATTGAATCTTGCGGTTCATCATTGAATCTTGCAGTTTCGTCATTGATTTTAGCAGATTCGTCATTGATTCTTGAAGATCTAGCTGCGAAAGTTTACACATAGCGCTGCTGTTTAATGGCCGTGTTAGTGTACGCTTGTGTGGTCCCAGCGTCGAGCAACAAACATGAACGTGAGGCGCCTGACACTAGCCCTCACTGTCCGACGCTGGGGTTGATGGTGCAGGGAAACCACTCTCGTGTGGGTTGGGGGAGTGGTGGGCGACCACTAGTGGGGAGTGGCATTTTAAATGCCATTAGAAGTGCTAAATTTTAAGCATGTTTTCAAACGCATGTTCTTTTCACTTGCCAAAAGTGGCTCAAAAATCAAACGAATTAGGTACTCTGTTTTTCACTTTGGTTTATTTATTAAAAAATTGGGTCAAATGAAATAAAATCTGAAACCCTTTGCACAGTAAAATGTTTATCTAAAGCAACAATGCAATCTGGAATAGGTTAACATGAAGGGGGTGCTAAATAATTTAATAGTTGGAGCTTGAAATGAAGGCTTACTTTATGCATGAGTGCACTCATTTCTGCTAATCGGAAGCACTCATTTCTTGTAAGGAATCTGAATCGTTTTTTCCTTACAATCTTTTTTGAAATGAACCTGGACGAGAATCACCCAGGAAGAAAAGTTAAGGAATATTAATCAGGACAATAATATTGCCTCGTATGTTATGAAATGTTACAGACAATAAGATGAAAAATGATAAGTAACAACGGTTCGAGACATTCAATTGCGATACGAGACATCACATTATGATACAAGTCGAAGCTAGATATTTCGACTGCCTTTATTATGATTATGGATTAACAAGTTGAACGAACACATGGGCGACATTTGACTACCAAAACAACTTAGCGCACACAACTTTTGGTAACTTTGATGGGCAGACGTGGCGCTTTATGATACAATAAATTTGCTGTCAAGCCTCCCTTTTTATAGCTTTTCACAATGATGCACTCCACATAATCACACCGAACTCAGGTCGTACGATTGCAGTGCGCGTTTCTAAATTCGTAAGGGCACAAGCGCACCAGCTGAATGGAATTTAAAATGATAGAAGGTAAAATTAAAAACGCTTCTTGTAATAATATTCCAGGGAATATTGAACACTTTGGTTCCTAATGCACTAACCGTCGTCAACGCTATTCACAACTTCCCGGTAACGAAAGTTAAAGAGTGTAGAGTATGGTTTACGGTAGGAGCTGAACGTAAGAAATTAATGTGACATGAATTGCGTCAAAGTATAAGTTAAGTCCTCAGTTATCGACGTCTGCGTGGGGACCTCATTGAAGTATACAAGTATGCTCATGGTTTATACAAGGTCCCCGAAGGATTACTAGAATTTGAAACAAGAACCAACACCAGGGGCCACAGCTATAAACTAAAAAAACTACGCTGCAACTTCTCCACGCGACAAAATTTCTTCTCGCTTCGAATCACCGACATGTGGAACAGCCTCCCCGATGACATCGTTACAAGTATGAACGCGTTCAAGAACAGACTAGATAAAGCTATGGAAAAGTATATGTTCAGATTTGAAATGCCTAGCACCATATCGAACCCGGTGGAAGTCGAGTAGCTATTTCAAACTATCGTCAATCATGAAAAGATCCGGTCAAATGCCACGATTTCAGATCTTCTGTGAACAAGGCACGAAAAGGAAAAGAATCGGCGACAGGCCACATCAGGCCTACACTTCAGCGCCGAGATCACTATGTTATGTTTAAAGTCAATTATTAATCGAAACCAAAAAAGAGAAAACCTACAATAAAAGTAATAATTATCGTCAATAAAAAATAGCTGCCGTTAGTAATAGTAATAGTGGTACCTATCAGCAAACCTGGCCAGTCGCTGAATTGAGACATCATATAATTTTTCAGCTTGCTGGGAGTTTCAAACTCGCAACTCTTGGCTTAAATCTTGGGAATCTGCTGCAACCACTGGGCCAGACTACCCAGCATTGTGTATATTTATATTTACTAGTATAGGCTGGCAGAATTTCTTCTCTTAAGCAAGTTTTGTTAAAGACCAGAGAATTAGTTTTTATTTATTAGCTTCTTGTTAGTTTTTTCAATAAGTCGTACTAAATTCTTCGTAGGTGTTGGAAGATTGAAAATCAAATTACCGATAGACATTTTTAATATTGAACGACGTTTCGAATGTACAACATTCATTTTTAAGTTAAAGACGCATAGAGTAATAAAATTTGGGTTGACATATGAACGAAATCAAGTAAATTGGATACCATTCAAATAATGCTAAAATTTCGTTAATGTGATACTACAGGAAGATTTTACAGGCGCAAAAAACTACTCGGAAAACAATCT